GGCATGTATTTACTTTTGAAAATTAAAAGGGGATTAATTATAATTTTGTTTTGAAATACTTTTTTTTTCTTAAAGAATTTCACAACCCCCTTTGAAATATTTAGAGATACCCTAGGGCCATGGTCGGCAAACAGTGGTTCGCGAGTGGGGGTGCGCACATACAGTGCGATTGAAACTTCATGGCCCATGCACAGAAGTTGGTATTTTGTGGAAGAGCCACACTCAAGGGGCCAAAGAGCCGCATGTGGCTCTCGAGCCACGGTTTGCTGAGCCGCAGTTTGCCGACCACTGCCCTAGGGTGTTGCAAAGAGAGGATTAGAAACAATTCCACTCTGCCAGTACGCAGTGTTTTTCTCAGCCATACCAGTGTTGCTTTCCTGAAAGGTTTACATTCTTTATTTTCTCTCACTCTCGGCATATGCTTTGTTTACTGTATAGTACAAATAAGTGTTCTTCTAATACTCTTGTTTCTCTGTACTCCTCGGGTTTTCTGGGTGACATATATGACATTTTACTTATAAACTTTTCCTCGTTAAGCTTCTATCTTGTATTATTGTTCTACTAATGACCTGGTGCATGGATTCATGCACATTGAAAGGAAATTAATTAGAAGGTGGCTGGCGGGGCAGGACTGGGCTAGACGGGGCCGGACATGCCCTGGGACCAACCTTCCGTGGTCCCTCCCTGGCCGGTGGCACCTGGGGTGGTGCTGTGGCTCAAAAGGTGTCTGTGGAGTAAGTGGAGTCCCTCTGGCAGGTGGGGTCCCTCGGCCTGGCCCGAGGGGATTGGGCAAAAACCGGCTCTCCAGCATCCCCCAAGGGGTTCCAGCGTGAGAGAGGGCACTCTGCAAAGTTGCTGTCGTACAGGGTGTGGAATGCAAACGCAAGTGTGCGGTAAACCAGATTTGAGGCCAACAGTGCCCCGGCAACAACATAACCCATGGCCAAAGGTGGAATTAGACAGCCCCGCTAGGAATCGGGCTCCCTCCTCTCTGGTTTCGGGTGAGAACTGCTGCTGCCCAGTCACTGCTGCTTGGCAGCTCCTGCGTTGAGCGTCTTCCCCCTGGTGGTCAGTGTGCATCATAGTGACTGGTTGAATGGTTGAACACTTAGCATATTAGCCTTTTATATATATAGATAATCTCTAAGTCATTCACCAGAGGCTTTCATACTAACTGTTGAAAGATAAATGTTATTACATGATCTAGTGCAGCCGTGGGCAAACTACGGCCCGTGGGCCGGATCTGGCCCGTTTGAAATGAATAAAACTAAAAAAAAAAAAAAAGACCGTACCCTTTTATGTAATGATGTTTACTTTGAATTTATATTAGTTCACACAAACACTCCATCCATGCTTTTGTTCCGGCCCTCCGGTCCAGTTTAAGAACCCATTGTGGCCCTCAAGCCAAAAAGTTTGCCCACCCCTGATCTAGTGTTTCATACCATTAAGCCAGAATTACTCAGAGTGAATATAATTTTATCAAAGATTAAAAATTAATATAGAATGCACAGATATACCCTAAAATATTGGGGAAATTTTCCAAGAGCATAGAGTTTAATGGTACTCTAAATACGCAAAAGAGAAAATTTGCTTAATCTTTTTGCTGAGCACTGAAAGAATTAATGGGGTTATAACTGGGTGAGCAAAGGGGTAGAGAGAAACAAACCTAAGATAGAGGTAACCATACTGGTGATAATGTGAGCATAGGTGTAGGGCCAGGGCTTTGTATGCATTGCAGAATATGAGAAAATTATACGGGTAAAAAAAAAGAAAGAAAGAAAAGTAGGATAAGTTGAGAAGGAATAAGAGAGGAAGTAATGTGTGGCTAGATAATGAAAGGATTTGAGTGCCGAGTTCCAAATAAAGAACTAGAATGACAGTCTCAAAATATGAAGTTGATGATGCTGTGGTTTTTGAGGTAAGATTTGTCTGGGTGTGTTTCTCTTTTATAGGACTTTAAAAAATTTAGCTCTAGAAAGTAGTATGAATTGGAATTTTTTTATTATGTAGAGAAGCTAACTACCAATTCATTTAAAAAATCACATGATGTTGATGTATTTTTGTTGTTGTTTTTAAATATATTTTTATTGATTTCAGAGAGGAAGGGAGAGAGAGAGAGAGAGAGAGAGAGATCAATGATAAGAGAAAATCATTGATCGGCTGCCTCTTGTGCGCCCCCTACTGGGGATCGAGCCTGCAACCCAGGCATGTGCCCTTGACTGGAATCGAACCTGGGACCCTTCAGTCTGCAGGCTGACACTCTATCCACTTGGCCAAACCAGCCAGGGCTATTGATGTATTTGTTGACATTGATTATTAGGAAAAAGGAAAAAAAAGACTGGAGTCATGAAAATTCCTGTGCAGAGGAAGTGAGAACACTCCCATTTCTGTTGGTCGGCGATTCTGTTTACAACCTGCCTTTTTCTCACTTGGTGTAGGCATCCTTTCCACTTGCCAAGGGGAGTAGTAATGTGGTACATCGTGCCAAAATTTATAGCAAAGGTCTAATGTGATGATGCTGTGGCTCTTGGCTCTTAGTCAAATGTGCGTGCAGCCCAAGCACACTAAGATTCCTTACAAGGTGCTGAAACAGGCTGGCTGTGTTTTCATTTATTGTGAGGCCTGATAATGTGCTAAGGCAACAGAATATGTGCTTGACTTATATTTGTTCCATCTAGTGAGCAGGATGGAGTAACTCTGGGGTTAATTTAGGCACACAGCTAAGAAGAGAAAAATTGGCTTGGATAAAATCTGTTCTATCTGAAGTGTAAACCATCTCATTGAAATCTAATGAAGTTAGGACAAAACATCAGAAGTTAACATCAACTTAAGTGTTATGGTCTGGGAGCTGGCCACTCCTTACTCTAGTGGGTAGTAACAAAGGTCTCAATAAAAACAAGAGAAGTCCAGCCTAGAGAAAACCTGAGACCCAGTTTTGAGCCTGAGATCTGACTTGCAGAATGACAGGGATGTGTCTACCCTTCGTTAAGCTGTTTGGACTAGATGAACTGGACTAGGTAAGTCTTCCTCAGACTTTAGAGAAACCCAGTGTCTCTGGGTTTCAATTTTGCTACAAGTGTAGGAATAGCTATTTGAGAAACAAGAAGTTCATAGAAATAACATCAAATTCTTAGGAAGTACAAAGTACTATGTACATATCCTGAAATAGTATTGGCTGCTGAGGTAAGAGAATGGTTCATTTCCACAACCTGGTCTTCAAGAAGGGGCTGTTTTTAGTTTTTCAAAGGCCTAATAGAATCCTTTTATGTAGCTATACTGAGGTGGTTCGGGCTGATTTCGACTGGAATGTGATGACTTTGGGAAGCCCATTCCGTTCAGAGGTGCTGACTGGTATATATACAAGTCTTTTATTAATGAGGAAGGAAATGTGAGATATTAAATTAGTAAGTGCAATTTTCTGAATAGGTACAATATTTTAGAAACATGAAATTACTGTGGAATAAAGAAAGAAAATAATTGAGGTTCACAATCTTTTATCTAAAACTTTGAGCCAGACATGTTTTTGAATTCAGAAAATCTTTGGATTCTAGAAGTGTATTAGGATGCCTAGACCATACATTAAGTAATCTCTTCAGTGGAGTCTTGCCCAAAAACCCTTAATTAAACACATTAATATTTCTACAATTAAACATGTGAATAGTCACACTGACCATTCGATGAGATTATGAAAGACTAAGAAGACTTATGACAGTTCAGGTCAGGTTTGTTACCAAATTGGTTTGGTGTGAAGTTACAAAAACCTTACAAATCAATTTTGGATTTCTGAATTGTGGCTAAAGTGTTATGAATAGACCTGATCAAGTAACCAATTATTAAGTAATTACTACATGTCAGCTTTGAGATGGGGCCATTTGCACTAATCTTTGTAAACATCCTGTTAAAGTGGACATGGTTACCTATTATCCATAATTTACGAATCGGGAAAGTTCCAAGGCTCAGCCTATTCAGTGAGTGGCCAGCGGCCATAAGTATGTGGCAGACCTGGAATTTGAACTCAGCTCCTTCTGCTCCAAAGACAAAGAACAATTGTCTTCCTCCCTGATTGATCAAGACCTCTGGTTATTGTGATTATTTGCGACTGTTGCCAGCACAGTAAAAAAAAAAAAAAAGCCAGCCCTAGCCAGGTAGCTCAGTTGGTTAGAGCATCATCCCAATATGCCGAGGTTACTAGTTCGATCCCCAGTTAGGGCACAAACAAGAATTGATGTTTCTCTCCCTCTCTCCCTCTAAAATCAATAAATAAAAATTTTAATGCCTTAACTTAATTAAGTTTTCTCTCCTCACGCTACAATCTTTCTCAGAAAATTCATCCAATGGTCATTTATAAACGAATGATACCGGCTGGATCTATGGCCCACTCCTGAGTATCACACTTAGATATTTGACTTACTGTTGGGCATCTCCATGTAATTGTCTCACTGTCCCAGGGACCTCCAAATAGAACTAAGCATTTTTCTCCTCCACATTTGTCTTTCAGAATTCCCTCTTCTACCATCTCAGTTACCCCTAAGCTGAACTCTTCCCATTTCCCTCCCTCTCCAGCTCTGTAATTACAAAGTCCTGTGGAGTACAACACAAGAGCAGCACCGAGGAAGCTGGGGTTCTCCCAGTGCAGTAATTTAATTTACCAACCACAGATCTTGTCACCATTCCCAGACAGTGTGTATAAAACGGAGGTTCTGACCAATTGTGGCTAGCCAAAGTAGCCTGGAATCCCATCTACCTGCCCAATGGCAGATTGCTAGATATTAAACCCTATCATTTTACCTTGTATTCTAGACTACTTTATGTGTTAAAAAACCTGTTTTCTGTGACCTCAAAATTATGTGTATTTTCTCTATTCCTGTGGGTGTGTCATAATATTGAGTAACTAAGTAGATAACATGCTTTCCGATAACAACTAACCTTTGCTCTAAACTTGTGCTGGGACGCTCATGAGGTAAAGTAACAGCCACCTATTTTTTCATTCCCACCTTCAGGTAAAAGGCCGAGCCTGAAAGTCCACATCAACACCACAAGTGACTCTATCTTCTTGAAGTTCCTGCGTCCAAACCCTAATGTAAAACTGGAAGGTTTTCTTCTGGGATATGGCAGCAATTTATCACCAAATCAGTACTTCCCTCTTCCGGCGGAAGGGAAATACACCGAGGCGGTAGTCGGTAAGATGCTTGGCTCTCAGGCCTGGGAAGGAGAGCTAAAAGTAACGGGTGTTACATGATACATACATTGTGAGGGCAACACCATTTCTTCTCCATCCTCAGCTGAATCAAATGCCATAATTACAAATCCTCTTCATAATTGTTATCCATAGCATAATTCCTTACATCAAAGAATATGTGATGCATATTCTGCATGTACTACAGAAATAATCAACTTTATTGCCATTATACCTACAATCCCTGAGCACATACTTAGATTGCATAGGGAAAAAATAAGCTGAAACTCCTGGTTTAAATCTCTGTACTATAGCTTATGTGGATTAATTCCCCCATACCCCCCAACCCCCAGTGCCTTAACTTTCTTCTGGTGGAATATAAAAACTATGGCTTTCTAGATACCTCTTCATGAGAAGCTACCTTTACAAATGTTATTGATGCATAACCCATGGACACAGACAATAGGGTGGTGGAGGCCTGGGGTTGGGGTGGGGGTGGGGGTGGGGGCGGGCTATAAGGGGTCAATGGGAGAAAAAAAAGGGGGACATATGTAATATTTTCAATAATAAAGATTTAAAAACAAAAACAAAACATAAAAAAATAAAAAGAGGAAAAATAAATAAAAATGTTACTGGTAGAAGTGTGGGATCCTCTTCCCCACTGGGTGCTGGGGGGTGGGGGCCTTATGATATCTAGAGTCAAAGTATTTCCTGAGGCTCGCGAGGGAGGATGTGTGATTTTTATTTGCGTGGAATTATATCCCTGGGTTTCCAAAGTCCCATTTCCTTTAATTTCAGTCCTGGGAGAGGTGATCTCGAAGCAGAGCCAGTGTCCAGAGCTTCCGTTCCATGTTGGAATTGGGTCTGGTACAGCATCAGGCTAGTTCAGTCCATCAGTCCATTGTTTGGGGTCCACATGGCTGTGGGACATTTGGGCAAATGCAGGAGCATGAGAGCCCTGCAGGTCAGGAGTCAAACAAGAGGAACCCAGAGTCAACCAAGAGCAAACTAAGAAAGCAGGAAGCAAGAGAGTGAACTCCTTTGTATCCCAAATCTTCCCGCACTTCCAGTGGCCATGCCCACTCTGGCCAATGACCTGTTCCCATGTGTGACTGACAGACAAGTACCTTCTCTATGTCTCCCAGACTTTACTAGGCATGCGTCTATTCTCCATCCTGTTCAGTCCCTACCCCCAGCCATCCGTGGGGAATAGACCCGTGGCCCCCTGAGAAGCATTAAACTGCGCTTCCTGGCAAAGCTGCACAAATGACATGCCTATACTATTTGTCCTTCCCTTTGCTTCTTTCCTGTTAAGAATAACTAGGTTGCCCTAACCGGTTAGGCTCAGTGGATAGAGCGTCGGCCTGCGGACTGAAGGGTCCCAGGTTCGATTCTGATCAAGGGCATGTACCTTGGTTGCAGACACATCCCCAGTAGGGGGTGTGCAGGAGGCAGCTGGTCGATGTTTCTAACTCTCTATCTCTCTCCCTTCCTCTCTGTAAAAATCAATAAAATATATATATATTTTTAAAAAAGAATAACTAGGTTAATTACAACAGTATCAAAAAGAAAAGAAAAAATATTACATTTTGAAAAAATTTTTAGTATGTCAGACACAAAGATTAGAGTTTTCATATATATAATAAAGTTTAACATTTCATTGAAAATGTTTTTAATCACATTAAAATGTAATTTGGAGGATGTGGGCAGCTTCAGTCTTGTTCAGTAAAATTATTTGCAGATAAGACCTTTTTAAAGAATAACACTTTTTAAAAAAGAGATCATCTATTATGAATGCTCTCAAAGGCTTCTGAACAGTCTGAGATTTATATTTTGTTCCACTGCTAGAATTATTGCTAAAGAGCTTTTCCATGAACTTCTGACATTTAAGCCCTTAACTTGAACTATTGTCGATCAGATCTGGCATTTATTCATATATACCCAGAATGTTGAAGATGAATCTGTTTTGTCCTGCCGCCCCTTGCTTCTCATAGAGAAGTCTCAGTTGTACTTTAAAATCAGGTAAGGGAGTAACATTGTTAATTAAATGTCTAGATAGATTTTATGTAAGATAATCACTTTAATAAAACAAACAAATTATAGTTACCAAAAAATTGAGATTAAGGAACTTTGGACAAATATTACCACATTAACCTTGATCATGTAAGCCACAAGGAATATGAAATTTGCAAATATTCTCACATCACTTTCACTCTTTACTATAAAAAGTGACTGGACCCTGTATATGATAACTCCACACCAACAGAAACAGATCTACTGCTCCTTTATTTCCTGAGCATTAGAAGTGATAGTTCACTTGTGATGGTTCGCTAGGTAAATGATGAGGGATAATCAAATGGACTAGGTACCCTTTTATTTCTCTACTACTGTTTTAATCCTTTAAAATATTTTTATTATGGAAAATTCAAACATAAGGGGAGAGAATATTATAATGGCCCTCATGTCTCATCATGTAACTTGAATACATGTAACTTTTTACTAATCTTGTTCCATGTATTCTTCATACACATTATGTTACTTGAGTATTTTAATTGCGTTGCTGGACAGGGACTGGGCCCAGAGCGGTTCTGCCTTGAACTGGCCAGTAGTGTCTGGATTCTTGACTTTGTGCAGCAAAGATTTCACAAATGAGTCCAGGTGACTTTGAGGATATGTTTATTAAAGTTGGGGACAGTGAGACAAGGAAGGGCTTAGAATAGAAGAAGCAGCAGAAGAGCCTAAACAGGGCTGCTCTGGCTCTTGAGAAATGTCATAGGAAAGAACAGTGCATTGTGGGTCCTTTGTTTTGAGGCTTTTAATCTCTCTCTAGCTGGTGGGGGTCCGAAGGGAGGTCACACAAGAGGGTCTTAACAGAATATTCATTAACTTTCCAGGTGTATCCTTCAATATATCCATTCATCATATAGAGCAGTGGTTCTCAACCTGTGGGTCGCATTAGATACCCACCTTTGGGGGTCGAACGACCCTTTCACAGGGATAGCCTAAGACCATTGGAAAACACATATATAATTACATATTGTTTTTGTGATTAATCACTATGCTTTAATTATGTTCAATTTGTAACAATGAAATTGGGGGTCACCACAACATGAGGAACTGTATTAAAGGGTCGCGGCATTAGGAAGGTTGAGAACCACTGATATAGAGGGTCAGGTTTGTTTTTCATTCTGGTTAGTTTTTACTTTCAAAGAATGTCATTGAAGAGGGACCGAAACCTAGGCCCATCTGTGGTCTGGAATGTGTAAAGTATTTATTCCTCAGGGTCCTTGGTTAGGGAAGGTAAAACCTTGTGATTCATTATCTGGCTGTAAATTGCTCAAATTGTTTGGCTTTATTTAATTATTTTTGTCTCAGTTTCCACTTGTCAAGGAATTTCCCTAGCTTCTTACTATCCTGTCACAATTGGATATCATATTTTTAAATCTATTTTTTTATTAAATCTTTATTGTTGAAAGTATTACACATGTCCCTTTTTCCCCCCATTGAGCCCATCTAGCCTGCCCTCACCCCAGGCCTTCACCACCCTATTGTGTGTGTCCAGGGGTTATCCATATATGCATACAAGTTCTTTGGATGATTCCTTCCCACCCACCCATCCTCCCCCGCCTTCCCTCTGAGATTCTGAAGTCTATGCTTCTATGTCTCTGGATCTATTTTGTTCATCAGTTTATTTTGTTCATTAGATTCCACATATGACTGAGATCCTATGAAACTTATCTTTCTCTGACTGGCTTATTTCACTTAGCATAATACTCTTCAGGTCCCTCCATGCTGTCTCAAAGGGTAAGAGATCCTTCTTATTTTTACTGCTGCATAGTATTCTATGGTATAAATGTACCACAGCTTTTTTATCCACTCATCTACTAGTGGGCACTTGGGCTGTTTCCAGGTCGTAGCTATTGTAAATATTCCTGCTATGAACATAGAGGTACATACATTCTTTCTGATTGATATTTCAGGTTTCTTAGGATATACTAGTATTCCAAGAAATGGGATCACTGGGTCAAGTGGCAGTTCCATATTTAACTTTTTGAGGAAACTCCATACTGTTTTCCATAATGGCTGCATCAGTCTACATTCCCACCAGCAATGTACTAGGGTTCTCTTTTCTCCACACCCTCGCCAGCATTTTTCATTTGTTGCTTTGTTGATGTTAGCCATTCTAACAGGTGTGAGGTGATGTTTTAACTTGCCTCTCTCTGATGATCAGTGACTTTGAGCATTTTTTCATATGTCTCCTCACCAACTGTATGTCTACTTTGGAGAAGTGTCTATTTAGGTCCTCTGCCCATTTTTTTTAATTGGATTGTTTGTCTTCCTTTTGTTAAATTGTATGAGTTCCTTATATATTTTGGATAGTGACCCTTTATCAGGTGTATCATTACCAAATATGTTCTCCCATACAGTGGGCTCCCTTTTCATTTTGTTGATGGTTTCTTTTGCTTTGCAGAAGTGTTTTATTTGATGTAGTCCCATTTGTTTATTTCTTCCTTAGTTTCCTTTGCCCTAGGAGATATATCGGTAAACATATTGCTATGAGAGATGTCTGAGATTTTGCTGCCTATGGTTTCTCCTATGGTGTAAAAAAAGCCATTGGTTTTTGGGTGTTGATTTTGTATCCTGCTACATTGCCAAATTCGTTTATTAAATCTAGTAGTTTTTTGGTGGAGTCTTTAGGTTTATCATGTCATCTGCAAATAATGACAGTTTTACTTCCTCCTTTCCAATTTGGATGTCTTTTATTTCTTCTTCTTGGCTGATTGCTGTGGCTAGGACTTCCAGTACTATCTATCTATCTATCTATCTATCTATCTATCTATCTATCTATCTACACTAATAATAGACAAATATGTAAATTGAGCATACCTCTGTGGCCCCACAGCCAATCAGGAGGGAATATGCAAATTAGGACAAGATGACGGCAGCCACAGAGCCAGCTGGAGCAGGTGGGAGGCTTGGGGTGCCCCCAGCGATGGAGGAAGC